AACAATACAAGCCTTGTGATATATCAGCAGCGATAATGATGAACTAACTATCGGGAAAGAGAAGATGTTGCTTTCGGCTACTGTTTCTTTAAGTAACCGTAAGCCGCTTAGGTACAATTTGATTATATCTTATATTTGTTTACTTTGACAATGTTGCATTTTATCAATTATTATTTTCATAGGTAACTTTTAAATATTTTATTGTAGGCGTGAATGTGCATAAAATAAAAGAAGATATGCTGAACAAATGAATAATAAAAATGTTCCTAATAGTGAAAATTTGCAAAATGTGGTTGATTTGACTGAAGATGATGTCGTCCCAACTGTTGTTGACAAACCAAAGCGTGACCGGCCTAAGAACATCTCCAATGTTCGTTATAGATATTATTCATGTGTCAAAGGCATGTTACACTTTTTAGTTATTGGGAGAACCCAAGTACTCTTTTTCTGATTAAGGAAACAACTGTCAGAGATCTTTTTCAATTTATAGTTCTTACGAATATTCATTACTATTACATTATGTTAGGCTAGAATGGGCAATAAAGAAGATATACTATAAGGAAAAGTATTTCTCCTGTCAATAAATTGATATACAATTTTCAATAAATTGATACAATTAAATTGCATTACTTATTGATTCTACATTTTTAATAAATAGATATTATTTAATGAGAAATTTAATTTATAAATATTAATGAATATCTTTAACCCGTGCATCGCACGGGATTCACACTAGTTTTAAGAATATATGTTATCAACTAATAACGGATTGATAGAAAAAATAGAAAGAGTTTGAATTTCAATTTTAACTATCATCGTCCTCCAAACAAATATACCAAACTTAAAATCAAGAGAAACATTATCTCTGTCATGATCAACAAATAGTTCTGTAAATTATACTATAAAAAACATGTATATTTTTTATTGACTTGAAAATTATTTGTAATTATAATTCAGATCAATCGTTTTTGTTTTTGTGTATATTAAATGTATATGTTTTTACAATATATATGTTTTTTATAGCAATATTTGCGGCTCTTCTTAAATTTCACACCATAATTGTACTTATATGTCTAACTAATGTCAGTTTCTAAAAAATAAAAAATAGGTCTCTATAAATTAAGCCCCATTATCATAAATGCTTTTTTTTTTTTTTCAATTGGCAGTAAAATTCTTCAACTCTCAGGTGTTTTGAATGGGCAATATATATTGAGTTTATAGTTATTATATAATCAGGATATCTTTCAATAATATTCTAATATACCAAAAAAAAAAGACGAAAAAGAAAAAAAAAAACAAAAAAATTGTCATTTGTCAATTTTGCCTTCAACAAAAGACAAAAGAAAAACAACTTTTAATATACCAAACACAAACTATGAATAAACATCAAATAAACGAGAGACAGTTGTGTAGAGGTGGACGTTTTAACTGGGCACATGTGATTGGATTCAGCAAGTGGATAACAAAGCTGGCTATCCCCTTTACTGGGTATGGGGCTTATTCGGAGTAAAGTCCCTCCTTTGTGCGCCCAAACCTCCCTCATTTTTATGCTTACACACGTCTTTCCACGCCTCCTGCCCTCCTGGCAATGCTCCTCTCACTGAATCTGATCGCCTTGCACTTAGTGGATTAACATAATAAGGGCCATTAACCAAGAGTGGAACATCAAATAAAGTAGCTACATCCCGATTGAATATCGAAATTCCAAACATCCATTCAGAAAAAAAAATCACTCAACAATTAAAGCATACAAAAAAAAAAAAAATCATTAATATACATAATTGTGGTTAGATACATGTCATGTAAATAAAAATGCAACATATACTGAAAATATACTGATTAAAAAACCAAGATATATTGAAATTGTTTTAATGCTAGCCTTGCGTAAGATTTTGACACTCGTTAAGTCTTGACTTTTTTTTTTCTTGCCGACCTGATCTGTTTTGTCATTCATTTTTTTTTTCAGTCGGGTCATCACTTTCAATGACATCTTCAATTTATGTCTCGTGAATGTCAAATTCTTCTTCTTCAGCAACCAAAATAATAATAATAATAATAATAATAATAAAAAATTGTAATTTAGTATGTATAACTTTTTATACATCTTGAAACGCGCTTATAAAGTGTTACATATCAATGCTTATATATAGTTGGTATAAAATTAAGTATAAAATATAAACCAAAAATATAAACAAAATTTAAACAAGTGTTTAGATAAAAAAAAAAAAGTATTAATTGCACCATAAACATAAAATATACTAATCTATAAGCGCGACATATAAGAAAATATTTCAGTTCCCGTCTTGCACAAGATTTGGCGTTCATCGTTAAGTTTTGACCTTTTTTTTTTCTTATAATTGCCGACTTGGTCGATTTTCTCATTAATGTTTTTCTCAGTTGGGTTATCGTTTTCAACGACATCTTTGTTAGTTTTCATCTCGTTCATGTCAAATTCTTTTTCTTCAAAAGAATCAGAATCTTGCTCGGGTTTTTCTTTTTGTGGAAGTGTTGGAATTCTTCTTCCACCATGTTCACTTCTTGCCGAGGGTATTTCGTCAACGTCTCCAAAAAGGGTTACACCAGCTGTAACTTCGCCGCCTTTATTGTGGGATACTTTTGAGCCACACACCTTCGATCTATTATGGAATTGAAGCTTCTTCTCCACGAGCTTCTGGTCAACATTAGGTTTAGTCTTGCGGAGACGACAACTAGGTCTCAGTTTTGGAAAGTCTCCTTCACCGTGGATGGGGCTACTTTCGACGTTGGGGGGATCGATATTCACCATTTTGTGTGCTTATGTTTTTTATTATTTTTTTTTTTTTTTTCACCGAAGAAGAAATGGATAAAAGAAAAGGCTTGAGATTAA